CCAGAATCTTCAGGTATTTGCTCTCCTTTTGACTCACTATTGCTCATCATAATTATACATAAAGTTCAAATGGAAGGATGAATGTTAACTGAACAGAAGGTGATTTCCTTTGCATGCACAGTATCTGAGTGAGCTTTGGGAATTTGAGCAATCTTGGACCTAAAGTTCCAACCAGTAACCTTACTAAGCCATGATTACTCATTACTCATTTCTTTCTCTCTCTCTCTCTTTTTCATTGAGGTAGCATTGCTTTACATCATTGCTTGTGTATTAGACATATAGGACCTCCCTTCTTAGGTGTTGTTACCACAACACACCCGCCATCACACCAAGACATCCATAGTTCACCGCCATCATCCATTGCACGCCTTCCCCATGTTCCCCTGGCCTTTCCCCCTCCCAATATGGATGTGTCAGTTGTATAGTCAGCTTTCTGGGGTTAGCTCTTAGTTTGGCTTTACCTGATCCCTTGTTGGATTTCTCTATATGCCATATATATGTGACACTGTCCAGTATTTGTCTTTCTCTTTCCTACTTATTTCATTTAGCATTACCCTCTCCAGCTTCATTGATCAGTTTCTATAGGAAAGAAGTTTGTCTCAATGACAATCTCTTTTGCTTCATGAGATCTCAATGGAGCTGTCTCTGAAGTCAGACCTGAATTCTAGTCTCGTCCTGCTCTTAATTAGCATCTTAACCTTGAGTAAATTGCTGAACCTCTTTAAATCTCAGTTTGTTCCTCTATAAAATGAGTTTGAGGGTAACAACACCTATCTCATGGGGTTCCTGTGAATGCCACATGACAAAGTCATGTTCACTAGAAGGCACAGAGTAAGACCTAACTAGGTGTTGGCTAATTTTATGAATTTTTTTAGATTTATTTTATTTATTTATGCATACAAGAACTGGGGTATAGGCTAGAGATGCAGGGAAGGTGGTGAGAGGATGCACCAGAGACAGAGTGAGGAGCAGAACAGGTGGATCTACTGAGACACACTGCTGAGGGGTGCGGCAGGCGAGACAGGAGAGGTCTGCTGCACCATGTGGGTAGCTCTCTGGCCGGGGATCCTCATGCCGAAGTGAAAAGTGGCTGGTGATAGCTTGATAGTGCTGAGACTTTAACCCCTGCACCACCAGATAGGCCCTAGTGCTATGATATTTTTGTCAGCTGGGGCAGGAAGTACAACTCCTATCAATCTGTTGGCCTGTGTCATTTTTCTTTTATTGATTTGACCCTCCTTTCTATCGAATTTATTGCTTTTAACAAAGTAGAAGAAATTGGATTTTGAGATCCTCTGGGCTACATGGAACATTTGATAAAAAAATATTTGCTAAATAAAGCAATTTAACTCCCTGAATGTATTATTTTAAAAATGTAAACCAGGGGCCTCCCCGGCGGTGCAGCAGGTTGACCATCACACTGTGAAGCTGTCTGCAGCCTCTGCAGTGTGGGTTCGATTCCTGGCCAGCCAGGGAGAAACCCACGTGGTGTGGCAGACCTCTCCTGCCTCGCCAGCTGCTCCCCTCAGCAGTGTATTCTGTCAGTCTGCCTGTTCTGTTCCCCGCTCTCTCTGGTGAATTCTCTCACCTTCCCGCACCTCTGACCTGTACCCCAGTGCTTGTATAAATAAATAAAATCTATAAAAAAAAGAGTTCTCATTGTTGTTGTTGTTGTTTTTTTTTTTTTTTTAAAGTAAACCAGGATCCAGCCAGTTCATAATTACTGTCAGCACTGGCATCTCCTGAGGTGGGCAGCAAGGATATTCCAAGTCTTAGGTATATATTACTGAAGAAATAATTCTATTAATGGAATACTTTCTGAATTTGAAACTGTGGCCACACCCACCCAGAAAATAAAGTGATGGGCTCAGGCAGTTGACCTTAGCTGATGCAAAGCACTATGGGAAAGAGCAAGGGTCCCTAAGTGAAGCATTAGCATCATTTGTGAGCTCTAGAAATGGGAGCCCATCCCTAAATCTAGAGTACTGGAGGGATGGAGTTGGCATACTTTTTTTGTAAAGGGCAAGATAAAAATATTTAGGTTTTATAGGTCATTGGGCTCTCAAAATTGTGGTCTGAGGCAAACTTACATAATATGTAAACAAGTGAAGGTGGCAATATTCTAGTGAAAATTTACTGACAAAACCAGGTGGCCCTAGCTTGCTCATTAAAAATATGCTGAATCAATATTCAGAATTTTATTTCGTAACCGACTTTTAGGTAAGTCACTTTGTCTCTACGTATCTTTCAGTTCTTTTTTCTTTCTGGTTAGCCATTCTCTGAAATAAGAAATGTGACCATCTTGAGGAGTTTGGAGAAAAGGATGAGAGACTATGAGCCTGGGACCCAAGCTAAAGGGCCAGACATCTAGGAGGAGCAGCTGTACTTAGAAGATAGGGACTTGGAGGTGGGGGTAGGCGGGTGCTTGGAGGGGACTAGAGAAATCGAACACACTCTGTTCCTGCCCACTATTACCAGAGACAATTTGGGCCCATTGTTTCAGATCTTCCAATTTTTCAAAAGAAGCTGAAACCTGATAAAATCAGATTTTTACATATTGGCCAACTTGCTTTAAAAACACAATGTGACCCTACAAAATCAGCCATACAAGGCTGAAATGTAGCTTGGGAGGTTGGTTGGTTGTGACCTTTGCTTTAAGTCCTTAGGTCTTTGTCACTGAAATACCGCTGGTTACCTTGAAATGAGATTGGGGGTTTTTCCAAAGCCAGTCTTAATATTTCAAGGGCTGATCAGATTTATATCTACTTCTTTGAAGTTGCTCCTCTATTTCAAAATTTTCTACCCCAAGGTGGTGCCACAAAGCGTTACCTGACCATATGTACTAGGTATGCCAAATATGAAATTCTATACATAGAATTTCATGAATTCTATACATAGAATTTCTATACATGAAATTCTATGTATAGAATTTCATTAGAATTTGAAGAGCCGAAATGAAAATGCCAGGCTTGGCAGCTTTTTCATTACAACGAAGATTTATGGACAACCAACCTAAAAAATTCAGAGCAATCAGTCCACATCAGGTTTGAAATTTTCCAGCTCTTCTGGAATATGCTAAATCCTCCCTTATCTCATCCCTATTCTTTGTGTTGGCAGATTTAGTTCTATGATTCAATAGAAAGCATTCTCTTTGCCTAATATTAAAAACTCATTTTGTTCTAACTCTAATAATTTGAGACTTTTTTTTTCTGAGTTGGATATAAACAGAAATTACCTTTTCATCACTTGAAAGTTTAATTCCCTAGTTTTAATGAACTTCTTAAAAATAAATTGGATAGATTAAATAAAACCTGTATTGTTTTTATTTGACAATCTCAAACTGCTGTATTGTGGAAATATTTGGGGCGCGAATTGTAATTTTAATGTCCCGTGGGCATTAATTTATTTGGGATTCATCTGTACCACAAGTCATCTGAAATTCTTTTGTGGAACAAGACTCACAGGCTAGAAGTCTTTGAAGGCTTTTAAACCCAACCTCTTTTTTCTTTTTAGCAGCAATTCTCCCAGAAATAGTCTATTGTGCCTGACAAAATGTATATCCAATCCTGGACTTGAAAAGGTTCTGCTCCTATTTGTAACTCAGTAGCCCGGAGGCCCAAATTGGTATTGAACTTTCTAAAAAAGCACTCTTGGTTCTTTAATAAGAACTTATTGGTAATTAGCACCCTAGCCTGGGCCTACAGTTTGGGTTGTCAAAATAAAAATAAAAATCAAGTGGCATCTGTTGATCTGGAAAAAAACAAAACCCGTTATACGCATTTAGCTCTGCATTTTAGAAATTCTTAAGTTAATCCTGTTTTAGCATTGTGGAGAAAGGTGCAAAGGAATGAAATGATCCCATGAAATCCTTGTGTTCCATAAGGTGTCTTGAAGTTTGATTGGATATTAACTAAAAGATCATTTTGTTTCTCTTTTATAGCAGGAGATGCAATGTGTTCATTTTATAACATCTCTGCTGTTTGGAATAAATCACCAAGGACAGATGCTCATCACATTTCGGTTCAATAAAATTCTTTGCAGAGTCTGAACAGATACATGGCTAGTTGCTTTAGGTCTGTGTCCAGGCCATTATTTGTTTGGAAAATCAAATTCACAGTACAAAATAGAGTTATACTAAGGACATTGAAATTAATATTTTGTTTGCTGTCTTATGTGTTTGTTGCTGTTTTGATTTTTTTTTTTTGCCAGGGATGTGCATTTAGGTCCTTTTATTTATACATATCATTGACCCCCTCTTCATTGTTTCTTCTAAGACAGCAGTTAATCTGATTCCCTGCTGTTAAATCTTCTAGTAATGCCATTTTAAAGGTTTTCAGCAGAAAAATTTGCCTTGTCCTTGAAGAAGTACAAAAATCCCATGTTCAGTCTGTTTTTGTGCATGTGGCAACAAATGAGTTTTCAACAGGCAAAACCGAGATGCTTATTTAAAAGTGCTACAAAACTGTTGGTGAGTTTTGGATATCTTTCATGTGCTGTATGGCACTTCTCTTGAGTTTAGAAAAAAAAATCAGGAAGACATAATCTCCTGTCTTGCCAATATTCATTTATTTATTTTTTTTTAGAGGAGGAGAGATTTGAGCTTAAAAAGTTGTGAGTGTACATCTTCAGTTGATATTTCCTTGAAGGAGTTTCATATGGTTTTAAATTATTTATCCAAGAGGGTATGTAAAAAAAAAAAAAAAGAGTGGAGGCTTTCCATCATGTTGTGCAAGGTAAAAATGTGCATTTTACAAACACTCATACATGCATGTTCCTACAGTCGCAAGAGTATCCACAGAAAATATTAAGCACATGTGTGTGTGTGTGTGTGTGAGTGTGTGTGTGTGTGTGTGTGTGTGTGTGTGTGTGTAAGTGAAAGAGAGAGAGAAAGAGAAAGAGTAAAGTTGCTGCTGGAATGTTGAATAAATAAATCAACCCAAGGCTACAATGGTGTGGGGTGATAACCATTACTCAAAGGGCAAGAGAAAAAGCTTACTAACCTGTCTTGGTGGTTTGCCTTGAAAATGAATCCTCGAATCCAGGGTGGATGATGACCATTTGGTGGGGCTAATGCTCTGACACCCTCTGACGGGACCAGAAAGTGGAAGTCAGGCCCGGGGCTCACACCAGCGCCAGTGAAATTTGTTTGCTGTTTATTTATTAACATCCACGTCTGTGTTGGATTTACTTCCCAGCTTCCTCTCTTTCAAGAATGCGTTTTTCACCCTGGAATTAGAAGAATATTTTTATTGGCAGATGCCGATGCTTTGAGGAAAGGACTCTGGCTCTTAGGCCATTTTAGGATTAGCTCTTCCCTCTCTAGCCTCCCCTCCCCCCGACTTATCTTCCCCCACCAACCTGGAATTAGGGTTCTGAACTACAGAGAGAAACCTTTCCCATGAGTGTGCAAATCCTGAAGTTTACAGTGACTAGATAATAAGTAATAAAAATTAGGCCCTTTCTTTATTTAAAGATCGCCTTCATGTTGAACTGGCTTTTTACTGCCATTAAATATTTGCTTTCTGGGAGCATTCGTGTATATTTTCTTAGCTCTTAACTACCACATTTCTGCTCGGTTTTATATCTGCTAGCCCCAGCATTTACAACCTACGAAAACCTCATAAATCTACTTCATTTTTCTAATAAGACATGAAAGTCCTTAATTGGCCTTAATGAAATGCACTTAAAGGGCAATAAACGTGTTTAAGCCCCTCTTTCAGGGTGAGCATCAGTACTCTCACTCTACTCTGTTTTAGCCTTTCTGGTAATTAATCATTTATTCATATGTGACGAATCAGTAACAAGATCAAGCAACTACGGCACAATTGCATGATAATAAGCTGCTCATATATGTGTCAAGATTTAGCAATCCTTTTTAAAGCCTAATTTAAAGTCATTTTACAACTAACCAGACTGCTTCTCCGAAGCATTTTTTCCCCCAGTATCTTTTCTACATATTTTCATTTGGATGCCATCTTTTTATTTGTTTATAGAGCCCAGTCTGCCTTAAATCCACTTATGGCACCAGCGTGAATTTCAGCAATGCAAACATTTACCATTGTTTTTCAGTGACTCCGAGTTCTCTCTTTGATCCAGAGGAGGAGGTGGAGGAGAGGCAAAAGAAAAAGGCCTGCATTTATAAATAGCAGACCCAAGAGCCCCTGCCATTTTTAGTACATATTTAAACCTTAAATCTGCAGTGATTGATGGAGATGTGTTAATCATTCGCCTGCACCTTGGCACTCTGAGAATTCCAGCCATTTCCCATACCAGAGATGCCAGTGGAGGGATTCCTTGCCCTGCAGAAGAAGTCTCTCTCTCTCCCCCACCCTCCTTTTATTGAGATATAAGTGACAAGTCCCTCACCACAAGAGAAATTCATATTTCTAATCCCTGCTGACAGAATATCTGAATGCCTGTTGGTGTGTATATAAACTGGGGATTGGGTTTTCCTGCCTGGGTAGAGCAGTGGTTAGTCCAGATGAGGAAACACACCTAAGAAAAAGATTTGGACCTATATGGTTTTAGTCAACAGGGTTGCTTTGTTCTTATGGACAAATCTTCTTTTTTAAAAAGAATTATTTTTTTATGCATATTAGAGCTGGGGTGTAAGGCAGAGGTGTGGGGGGTGCGTGTGTGAGAGGATTCACCAGAGGCAGAGTGGGGAGCAGAACAGGCTGATCGACTGAAATACACTACTGAGGGGAGCAGCGGGTGAGATAGGAGAGGTCTGCTGTGCCATGGCTGGGGATTGACCTCGTGCTGCAGTGGCTGCTGGTAGCTTCATAGTGCTGAGACTTAACCACTTGTACCATCAGTGAGGCCATATCTTGAGTCGATGATCAACCAGTTGGCATTGGCAGTGGTCTGGATAATCGGGGCTCCTTTGTTCAGGCCAAGGAAACCAAAGTAATTAAAGGAAGAGTTAAAGGTCCTTCTCTGGCATATATTAACATATGTAGATCACCTGGTGTTAATCATCCAGACATCTTTATATTTGCCTATAAAGTTAGGTGACAAGAACAGGTACTTTTTTAAGAGACTGACAGACTCAGTAGAGATGGCACCTGTCAGTAAAAATTTGCCATTTGAAATAGTTTGCTAGCTGAAGTTTTACTTTCTTCAGTTAAACATGATAGAATTAGAATGAAACAAATACATGAGTCTCTCCCTAAGGTGCACTTAAACCTCATGAATACACATATAAGATTAAAAAAAAAAAGTGAGTCTAAATTGGTGACAAAGCTGAGTAGCACAATTTTTGAAAATATATGTCATTTTATTACTGTCCAGTACAAAAAGTAGTTACTTAGGTATAACCAGATAGGGGGAATTCTAGCCAGATTTACTCTTATGTCTGGAAAATGACCACATATCATAACAAATTATTTGTCTGTTGGTAGGGAATGTTCCTGAAGCATTTGAAAATTGTTCTCTTACATACCTTAAAAATCACTCTACAATTCAACTCTAGGTAGGCTCCTCTAATGAAATTTTATCGCTTATGTGTGTAGCTTATGAAACTTAGTGGACTTAAATCTATTATCTGTCAATTTTCTTTGACTTTGCAACACTTCTTTTTTTAAATTTTAGGTCCTAAAAAAGTAAATTTTGTTCTGACTTTCTTGCAATTGAATATTCCTGAATAGATGGCACAAAGTTAATAAGATTTAATCAAGGCACATTCATACCGAATGGCTCCCCCTGGAGTTGTGCAGTGCACATTTCATGCATCTGTACACTTTAGTTCTGGTTTTGCATGTTGTCTACATACACCTTGTCTTGATAAAGATACATCTCTGGTTTTGGTTGAAACATGATATTTCCCTCATCTTCAGATGACATGTCCTGCTTTACCCTGTACATCTAAAGGAGATCCTTGAATGTAGCAAAAATGTTTTCATGTGTTAAATTTTATATTTATTGTTCTAATATTTTCTGAAATTCCTCCTATGTACTACAGCCTATTTATCTAGCTCTAAATTACTCTCTGGGTCAAATGTGAACTGAATTTTCATTCTATTTTGCCCTTCACTTCATTTTGTAACAAAATCGTGTTATTTTCCTTCAATTTATGACAAAGTTCCTTAGGCCAAATAATTTTTACCAAAGGAAAAAAAAAAAAAAAACCACCAAAAAACGGTAAGTCTTCAGTTAAAAAACAAAGCCTTCTTACCCAAACTCCACTAATGAGCTGATTTAAATAATTTTAGGGAGGAAAAGACAACTTTTGAACTCTTTACTGGGCTTGATATTTTAAGATTTTAATATGGAGTGCTATATAGCCTTAGTCCTCTGACTAATTTTGCAGAAATAATCACAACATGTAAAAATAATCACAATGTGTAAAAATAATTGCAATAAGGTGACAATTTAGCAGTAAAAGGAAAATTCCAGACCCAGTTTAATCAGTTAAAGTGTCTCTCTGGTTCTTCTGATTTGTTGTTCATTTATGCCGGGCAGCTGGACAATAGAATTTTGCACGGGCCACAAACAATGAAATAAAACAGCAAGATGTACTGTATTTTACTGAAACATACAATAAAGGGCAGCAGGGGACTAGTGAAAGCCCAATATTCAAAGACTGTAATTTTTTATCACTACTTTATTTCCTGAACCAAAATGTTTTTTGGATATAAATACTGGTCAAAAACAAAACTGCACCGTGTTTGCTATCATTGAGGCAATACCTAAACCTACTTTTTATTAGAATTAAATGAATATCATGCAAGTAGTTTTAATGTTTTATTATTATTTATGTTCTATGCTCTGCATAAATAGAATTGTTCCTTGCCCCCCCCCTTTTTTTTACTACTAATAAAAAGTAATAGGTGTAATAATTCTGAGACTGTTTGCATTTCAGGGTGTTTTCTGTTTGGTCCTGGTGGCTTATGAAAGGAAAAAAACCCCAGACCAGAGGGTAAAGAAGTTTAATAACAAATATAGGAAACTTCAATAGAATTAAACGTTTAGGCAAGAATGACCAAAACAAGGATGAATAATGAAGATTTAAAAAATGTTAAGTACAAAGTCAATGCAACGAATATTCTGTGAGCAGAGACATATCTGAACTTTTTTCCAACATTGTTCATGTATGTCTGGAAATTGCATCATATATATATTTATTAATAAATATCTTTCCTTAATTACTTGTTGATTTCTCAGAACACTTTGTGATAGGCAGGAAGGCAGTATTTAACCACAAGGCCATGTTTTCTAAAACAAGACTTTTAAAGATGTAGATGTGACAGGAGATATTTAAATGAAAGTCAGAAAATTGAAATCATTTCCTTGTGAAAGTAATAGGTTTGCAATATTCTCAATGAAATTCTGCAAGAATTTGCACTTGGAAATCCAGAAACCTGTTCTAGTGGTGACCATGTGCTCTCAGAGGGCAGATCTAGTGCTTTCTACTATTAATGCTTTTATACCTCAAAAGCTGCCACTGCCTTCAGCAGCCCAACCAGCTGCAGGTGGCTCTGGTGTCTTCTCTCCCAAGTAAAACAAAAAGACCCTTTTTTTCCCCTTCTAGAAAATGTTTTTACAGTTTAGGCACACGACTGTACAGAGGAAGACTATACCACTATTCAAAGGGATGTCCCAGAAAGATTCTATAGTGAAATGGGAAAAATAGAGGACACAAAATTACAACTCCATTGAGATCTCGGAGGGAGAAAATGTTTTGCAAAAAGTCTAAAAATCAACGAAAATGTTAACAAAAAATTGCTTCTAGTGGCAGGGTTATGGGGGACTTTTGCATTTCTATGTATATTTCTCTAATTTTCAGATTTACTATAGCATGCATACACTATCTTTATAGACTTAAGTTAATGTAAACTCTAAGAAAATAAAAATTTATAAAAATCAGGCTTTAGGAGGGCCTCCCTGGTGGCGCATCGGTTGAGCGCTGGGTTGCAAAGCTGCCCGCAGCCTCGGCAGCGCCAGTTTGATCCCCGGCCGCCGGGCGAGGTCCCACATGGCGCGCAGACCTCTCCTGCCGCCCGCTGCTCCCCTCAGCAGTATACTTGGTCAGTCTGCCTGTTCTGTGTCCTGCTCTGGCTCTGGTGAATTCTCTCACCCTCCCGCGCTTCTGACTGTACCCAGTGCTTGTATAAATAAATAAATAAATAAATCTTTAAAAAAAAAAAAAAAAAAGCAGGCTTTAGGAAACATTTTGAATGGATTATACTAGAGTAAGTTTTACAACCATGGTCAGCATGGTTTAT